CATTCCAACACAGGAAAATACTGATGAGCACTGTATATTCGACTACCTCTACGGGTTGTACCTGCTGTAATCTGGGACGGAATTCTTGAAATCAAATAGAGTTTGAGGACGGCGCATTGCTCACACCTGCAGGTATATTGCGTCAACGGCTAACTCTATAAAGTACCAACAGGAGAGAAGAACTATTACTTACGCGATTGTGTGTTGGTGAGGGTGATGACGGTCCCCTGGAGGTGGAGGACGCATCTTATTCGGGCTGTTCCTAAACCATCTTTCTAGTTTTGAATGCAAATAAAAACAAAACCAATACACATACAAGCAGGTAGTTTGTATCACCTTGTAACCCAACTCTCGCTGTTTTATTAACATGTCGGTATACAAGATGGTGTAAAATGCATGCCCGTTTTCGGTACACAAGGAGGCAGCATTACCGGTAGTGCACTTGACCGTGTTCAATTCCCTCCAGTAAAGTTAAGTATCATTCACCGAGGAATAAACTGGTGGTTCCCTAGGAGCTAACGAGTGACCTTAACGACAGGAGGCAAGCTTCCGGTTACCTGTCGGAGTCACTAATTAGAGGTAAACTGGAAGCAACATTCACAAATGTTTATGGGTTAAGTTATCAAACCCAAATGGTCTTTTCTCAATTTATCAAGAAAATAAACTATTGCACAATAACTGGGATATCACCTCTATGAGCTGTGAGCGTTAATAATGTAGCACACAACTCATTGGTTCAGAGACGGGAGTCGAACTGGTGATAGCCGGCTACTTAATTGATAACTCTGAAGCCAAGGTGTGAGGGAAAAGTGGGAATATGCTGTCACCTGTCCACTTGATGACTACTCACGGCCTATAGGAAAGTTACCGTAGGTGATGTAATTATATAAACCTAATGTATGTAACCCACATTTATATAAGTATAACTGTGTGTTAGACAAGGGCTAACACTTACACATTAGGTCACCACACTCGTTACTGATATAAAACCAAAACCAACTTCAGAATTTCTACAATAGCTTTTTTTTCATATTTGTAGGTAATCAACTAGTGAGTGGTCCACGTAATATACTGAGAATGTTTATAAGTTATATGGATATGTCCTAACAATTATACACATATATTTTCTAATGCATTCTTATACACATGGCAGAAGTATCTTATATACAATCCACACAGCTGCTGCTCTGTCGCCTCACCTCCAGCACAATAAGTTACTGTTTGGTTTTGTTTTTTTTGAGGGGGGGGGTCATATAGAACGTATGTTTTTAATTGCATATTTCCAAACTTTCCATCACTACTGCACAGACATTAATTTCACCAACAGTCGCTTGCTGTCCTAAGGAAAAAATTTTTACGCCTACAGATCCTCCAGTCCACCCAGCTGCGAGTGGGTACCTAACCTTTCAGTTGGAGAAGTGAAGCTGGTCAAGTGCCGTGCTGGCCACACTACCTCCTTGTGTACCGAGAGAAGGGTTGGTTGGTCTTCAGCGTGGTGTGTTCTCACTGTCCCTTATGGTCCGCCAGGGTCCACGGACCTACCTTAATTTTTCAACATAGTTTTTTAATCACCTTATTCTGTTTTTTATTGAATTATTATTTGATAATTTCCAACTATCTATCCTGACCTCTGTGTTTACTCTACCATCTCGTTCCGTTCAACTACCTGTAAAAAACGTAACATTTCTTTCACCCCGAGCTGTCTTGCAGTACGGCTCCAAACAAGACACCTTTTATGTCTCATCGTGTTGACTGAGACAATTCTGAATTCAAATTGTGAACATTTTTAACCTTCCAATTTCATCTCTATCTACATTTATTTGATAGTTATTGAATTAGAGTATGATAAAACCCAATCACTGTTCACATCTACCGTATTTACCTTACAATCTGGTACGGTTCAACTACTCAGCCAAAAGAAATTACCAACATATCTTCATCCCCACACTGGCAACTACGTGTCTTAACGCTCCTAAACATGACGGTTTTTGCTCCTCCATGTTGGCTGAGACGAACACGTAACTGCCTCCGTAATAACAATGGGGGTAATTAGCCCGGGCGTAACAAGGGGCAGGTCATAATCCCTCATTAGGGATGATGGAGGTCAGGAATAACAACAATGGCCGGCTGGTTTTTGTCGCTCTAGTTGTGGTGATTTTTATGTTTGTGGTAATGGTCGGTGAGTGAGCCAGAGAGGGAGGGAGTGGGGGGGGAGGAGAGGGTCTGGTGAGTGAGAGAGGGAGGGGGCGGGGAGAATGAGTGAGAGAGGGAAAGTCGGCGGAAAGGGAAAGAGGGAATCGGGGGGGGGAAGAGAGAGAGAGGGTGAGGGAAAGGAAAGGGGAGGGGGGAAAAGGAAAACAAGGAGAGAGAGAGAGGGGGAAGGGGGGATGGTAAGGGAGGAAAGGGGAAAAGAAGATGGAGAGGGAGGGGGAGACTGACGGAAGAAGAGGATGAGAGAGAGAGATAATTAGAGTTACAAGTAATAATAGAGGTTACGTAGATAAATATAAATGAGTATATATAGTATAGTTATCTAATGCATGACTGGCCGTTAGGGGCAGTGTGGATACAGCACACTGTATACTAAGCCTTCGGTACACAAGGAGGCAGCATGGCCGGTACTGCTCTCGACCACCTTCACTTTCCCCAATTTGTAAACTAAGGAGCTCACGTACAGCTGGGTGAACTGGGAGCGCCCGAGGATCGAAACACCGTCCCCTGGAACAGGAGGCGAGCGTTGTACCCGCTGGACCACCGCACTCATCAGTTGTTAGAAATAAAGATATGAAGAAGGACAAAGGTAGTGGCTGACCAGCATCAGTGTCCACCAGTGACCAGAGCTAAACACTTGTATGAATCATGGATGAACCTGTAAATACCTACAGTAATTCTGAATACCTGTAGGTGTAAATCATATTGTTCTCATATTGCTCGTAAGGAAGAATTATAGATCATTGTGTAAGTGGGTTACTCTATAAATGATGATGTATCTATTGTTTAAGTCACTATAATGTTTAATCAGCTGACATTATGAAGTCATGACGATATCAGTAACATTATATTACAATAAATCAAATTAATAATTACAGTAGCTTTGAAATTATGTAAAACTGGGTTTGGTCTCTTTGAATAATGCTTGAAACAAATCTGGTGGATGGAAAAATAAACCTACGTGAATTTATGTGTTTTTTTTGTGAATAACTCGGTGCACAAAGCTTACATATGAGCTTTATTGCCACATTTTCCGCCGTTACAGGTATTAGCAGGTATGCACAGTACACACTCCCACATTATAAACACCACATTAAAACTATTCATAGTGACAACTCTACGGTATAATCCCCAGTCTTCATCGTCACTCTAATAAGCAATCGAGTCATCCCCAGCAACTATGATCGACACATTCATCAGTCCAGCCTCTTTATGTGTATTTGTGTATGATTAGTCAGGTCTGGTGGTCACTGTATAAGCCACAGTGAATTAAGTAGATGGATTATCTTTAAAGTGATATTGGGCTTTTGTCTGCCAGATAAGCTGTCCATTCTGCCTTTGTCTCAATGTGTGATAATTAGTTTCCAGGGAACACCTGTGATGTGAGTCTTATCCTCTACATGTTACCTTATGGTGTGTTGCTCCCTCTCGTCTCTCATACATCAGTGATGACCCAGGTACTTGTTGAGACTGTAACCTTACCCCAGAAGGTCAATGAAAACCCCCTTGTGATCACTCCTCTCATAGGTTCAATGGTCAATAAACTTAGGCTCAAGGGATGAGAGAGGGGGGCGGGGGCGGTGGGAGTGGGGCGGGGGGCGGAGGGAGTGGGGCGGGGGAGGCAAGGGAGAGGGGATATATATACTCCCGCGTATAGGCTGAATCCCTATGGCTTGGAGATAGAAGAAGTCGACCATTCAAAGATGTCAAAGACTTTTTCTTTCCTTTCATATGAGAAACTTGATGATGTAATTAATGTATATGAGATCACTTGTTGGTGACGAGAGGCAGAGGATGGTTAGTGAAGTAGGTGGATATGTGGCAGGACTGCCGTGTGTGTGTGTGTACAAGGTGGAGCAATGCGTCTAGTGTGGCTGCATTATGGAAGTGTTAAAGTGCAAACACTGCTTGCTTCCTCTCTCTTTCAACTACCGCCGCCGGCTAGTCCTCGTGCCGAACAGGGAAGCAACTTGCATAAGTCTTCCCCTGCTAGTACACAGCCTCTTCACCATCAAGACTCCTGCTGCGCCTCCTCGTGGCAACACACGGTAACTGGGTGCCTCGCGGGCCAGGCTAGACCAGCGGCGGATCTCGCCAAGATGTCCTCATCACCCAAGCCATGCGTGCCTCAGATCCTTGCAACACTGATCATCGGCTCGTCAGAGCCAAGCTCTCACTTCACGTCGCCCCAAAACGGTGAAGGCAACAAGCCTCCAGAAGAGGTTTTAACACTAAGCGTCTGAAGGGTTCAGCGGTAACACATGCTTTCAGAGAGCAGCTCGAACATGGGCTGATAAACAACCTGACAACAAACAACCCAAATCCCAGTGCCGAATGGGGTATTCTCGACACTGCCATGACAAAAACTTGCAGAGACCCTCGGCCAGATGGAAAGAATACACCAGGACTGGTTTGATGAAAATGACCCAGAAATCAATGGACTCATTGATAATAAACATACTGCTTTAACTGACTGGCAGAACAACCCTCAGTCTCGGACAAAAGTTGATACCTTCTGCAAGATGAAAGTGGCAGCCCAAGGTGAACTTCACAATCTAAAGAACACCTGGTTTAAAAATAAAGCATGTGAAACGCAAACACTTGCAGATCAACACAAGATGCGCGAATTTTTCAGTTCCACTAAAACATTTTACGGGCCAATCACTCATGGCGCAGCCCCCCTCCAAGGATGATGGACTGGACTCAAGGATGGTGGACAGGACCCAAGAGTGATGGACAGGACCCAAGGATGATGAACAGGACCCAAGGATGGTGGACAGGGCCCAAGGATGGTGGACAGGACCCAAGGATGGTGGACAGGACCCAAGGATGATGGACTGGACCCAAGGATGGTGGACAGGACCCAAGGATGGTGGACAGGACCCAAGGATGGTGGACAGGACCCAAGGATGGTGGACTGGGATGGTGGACTGGACAGGGATGATGGACAGGGCCCAAGGATGGTGGGATGGACAGGACCCACAGGATGGTGGACAGGACCCAAGGATGGTGGACTGACCCAAGGATGGTGGACAGGACCCAAGGATGGTGGACAGGACCCAAGGATGGTGGACAGGACCCAAGGATGTGGACAGGACCCAAGGATGATGGACAGGGCCCAAGGATGGTGGGGATGGTGGGACAGGACCCAAGGATGGTGGACAGGACCCAAGGATGGTGGACAGGACCCAAGGATGGTGGACAGGACCCAAGGATGGTGGACTGACCCAAGGATGGTGGACAGGACCCAAGGATGGTGGACAGGACCCAAGGATGGTGGACAGGACCCAAGGATGATGGACAGGATGGATGGTGGACAGGACCCAAGGATGGTGGACAGACCAAGGATGATGGACTGGACCCAAGGATGGTGGACAGGACCCAAGGATGGTGGACAGGACCCAAGGATGATGAACAGGACCCAAGGATGGTGGACAGGACCCAAGGATGGTGGACAGGACCTAAGGATGATGGACAGGACCCAAAGATGGTGGACAGGACCCAAGAATGATGGACAGGACCCAGGGATAATGGAGAAGTCAATGAGAGAATTTGGCTGATAATGACCTTCTGAGGGTAAATTATTCTGGCCGTGATGGTGGTTGCAGGCGATAGTAATAGTTGGTAATAGTGGTGGTTAAAGGGAATGATGGTGGTTGTTAGTGGTGATTCGTAGTAGTGGTTGGAAGTGGTAGTGATGACAGTGGTAATGTTGGTAGTGATTGTTGTTGTTGATATTGTTGCTGATGTTGTTGTTGTTGCGGTGGTGGTGGTGGTGGTGGTGGAAGAGGAAGAAAGGGAACAGGAGAAGTGAAGGAGGTGAAAGAGGTAGGATAAGGAGGAGGTGGTGTGTGGTAGAGAGGGAGGAGAAGGCGGAAGAGGTGGAGGAGAAGAAAGGAAGGGAAAAAAAGAAGAAGAAGAAGAAGAAGAAGAAGAAGAAGAAGAAGAAATAAGGAGGGAAAAGGAAAGAAGAAGGATAGCGATGATCACACTGTATGGTGATAGTGAGTTTAGTTAACGATTTTCCTATCATCATTAATGCCACCAATCACCATCCTTGTGTCCATTGTAAGAGTGGTAGTGTAAGAAATACGATCTTCCCGGACTACTATCTTCCTCCTGATTGGTTGGCAGCCTTTAGCGTCGTTTCCCACCGAGCTTTGCTATTGGCTGATTTGCCCCCCAGAGTTTCAGAGACTCTTCCGCCAGCCAATAACGTGTATTTACTACGTCTGTGTGAGTGGCTGTGAGATCCTCTTGTGACCAGACTCCCAGAACAGACAATAACAAGGCGTCTGTGAGTGGCTGTGAGATCCTCTTGTGGCCAGACTCCCAGAACAGACAATAACAAGGCGTCTGTGAGTGGCTGTGAGATCCTCTTGTGGCCAGACTCCCAGAACAGACAATAACAAGGCGTCTGTGAGTGGCTGTGAGATCCTCTTGTGACCAGACTCCCAGAACAGACAATAACAAGGCGTCTGTGAGTGGCTGTGAGGCTCTTCTGTGACCAGACTCCCAGAACAGACAATAACAAGGCGTCTGTGAGTGGCTGTGAGGCTCTTCTGTGACCAGACTCCCAGAACAGACAATAACAAGGCGTCTGTGAGTGGCTGTGAGATCTGTGACCAGACTCCCAGAACAGACAATAACAAGGCGTCTGTGAGTGGCTGTGAGATCCTCTTGACCAGACTCCCAGAACAGACAATAACAAGGCGTCTGTGAGTGGCTGTGAGGCTCTTCTGTGACCAGACTCCCAGAACAGACAATAACAAGGCGTCTGTGAGTGGCTGTGAGATCCTCTTGTGGCCAGACTCCCAGAACAGACAATAACAAGGCGTCTGTGAGTGGCTGTGAGATCCTTGACCAGACTCCCAGAACAGACAATAACAAGGCGTCTGTGAGTGGCTGTGAGGCTCTTCTGTGACCAGACTCCCAGAACAGACAATAACAAGGCGTCTGTGAGTGGCTGTGAGGCTCTTCTTGACCAGACTCCCAGAACAGACAATAACAAGGCGTCTGTGAGTGGCTGTGATCTTCTGTGACCAGACTCCCAGAACAGACAATAACAAGGCGTCTGTGAGTGGCTGTGAGGCTCTTCTGTGACCAGACTCCCAGAACAGACAATAACAAGGCGTCTGTGAGTGGCTGTGAGGCTCTTCTGTGACCAGACTCCCAGAACAGACAATAAGGCGTCTGTGAGTGGCTGTGAGGCTCTTCTGTGACCAGACTCCCAGAACAGACAATAACAAGGCGTCTGTGAGTGGCTGTGAGGCTCTTCTGTGACCAGACTCCCAGAACAGACAATAACAAGGCGTCTGTGAGTGGCTGTGAGGCTCTGACCCAGACTCCCAGAACAGACAATAACAAGGCGTCTGTGAGTGGCTGTGAGGCTCTTCTGTGACCAGACTCCCAGAACAGACAATAACAAGGCGTCTGTGAGTGGCTGTGAGGCTCTTCTGTGACCAGACTCTTATGGCCTAAAAACTGTCTATTGTATTATTTATTGTATTTTGTGTTCAGTCGTTTGTATATAAACTTGATGTTTATTTTCCAGTGAATATGACGTGAAATATATACATAACGTATGAGGAACAGAGGAACAGACAAATAAAAGAGAGACAGGGAGGAGAGAAGGAACGAGAGAGGTGACAGAAAGAAAGGGAAGATAGAATGACAAGGGAGACAGACAGACAGACAGTCATATAAGAGATTGCAGATATCCAATCAATACCTGGAGAGAGAGAGAGAGAGAGAGAGAGAGAGAGAGAGAGAGAGAGATAAACAAGCGAAGAGAAAAGAGAGAGACAGAGAGGCAGAGAGAAAGAGAAGGCGAATGAGATACAGAGAGGGATAAATATAAAGATAGACAGAGACAGAGTGAGAAAGTGAGAGAACGAGACTGAATGAGAGACAAGAAAAGAGAGTGAGTGAAAGACAGAAACAAAAGATAAAGTGAGTGAGAGACATGAACACGGTAACACAACAACAATAATCAGAAAAATAAACAATTGAAAAAAAATCTGATCTTAATAGGAAAATTAATTGTGAATAATTAGAAACAAATGATGTTTTCCTGGTAACACATAAGGGAAAACGATAATGGGAGGAAATAAAGAGGGAAGTGAGACAGAGAGACTGATGATAAACGAAGTATGGCAAGAGTCCAAGAATTAAGCGAGAAAAAATATACACCGGTAACTGAGGAGATGAGGAAACCAAGTGAATTAATGTTTTGTTGTTGGTTGAAGGTTTTGGCACAAGGGAGACTGACCACTGACTGTGTGGCCCAGACTGTCCACTGACGGTGTGGCCAAGACTGTCCACTGACGGTGTGGCCAAGACTGACCACTAGGCCAAGACGGTGCACTGTGGTCAAAACGGTCTACTAACTGTGTGGTACTGACTTATGTGTACTTACTCCACACGTACACAACTCATTCACATATATTTAGTGGTACTGTTAGAGCCGAGTTCGCTGAGATTAATATGGTTATAGAAATTATATAGATACATGTGTTAAATGTTAGAATAAACCTGTGTATAGAAGTATTTTAAGGCTGTTTTATCGTACCTCGAACAACCTCGTGTTATCGGTGGGTAACACACGTACAGTATGTCAGGTCATGGTTGTTATAATCAGACTATAAAGAACGTCACCAAAACTCTATATTTCGTGTTTGGTCAACCATTATACACACAATGTAGCAGTGTGTGTGTGTGTGTGTGTGTGTGTGTGTGTGTACATTTTTGCACACACGTTTGTATGTATGCATGTATGTATTTGTGATGTGAAAGCAAAAACGGACCTAAAATGGTCAAACGGAAAAAAAAATATTGGTTATCGGTGTGAGTGTGTGTACCCTGACCAGTTATTTGACAGGTACCACTCAACGCTGGTCTCTCTCTCTCTCTCTCTCTCTCTGTCTCTCTCTCTCTCTCTCTCTCTCCTCACTTCAACAGTCACCCGTCACCTGCCCCACCTCACCTCCAATCATCTCCCTCACATCCCCAATCTTCTCCCCACCACCTGTCACTCCTAGCCTAGCTTCCCCCTTCCCCTCACCTGCAGTTACCTCCTTACCTTCCCTCCTTCACCTGTAATCATTCCTCATTTACCTCGTCTCCTCCCCACAGCTCTTGTTTACATCGACCAGCTGGGCGAGTATAGACGTATTTGGCCCCACAGTTCTCCATCCCCTTCAAGGTCTGCGAATGTTATATGATTTTTATTCCATACAAAATTCTTCATAACTCCTTTAATACACACTTACTACACACTTATTACACCCTCACGACACCCTCACTACACCCTCACTACACAATCACTACACCCTCACTACACCCTCACTACACCCTCACTACACCCTTACAACACCCTCACTACACCCTCACTACACCCTCACTACACCATCACTACACTTGAAAACTCACATGTAGTAATTGCTAGTTATTGGATGGCGCCACAACACGGGTGACTGGACACCAAATTGCAGTATGGTTGAAAGATGTGGCTGAGGTATGGGTGTGGTGTGGCTGGGGTGTGGTGTGGCTGAGGTATGGGTGTGGTGTGGCTGGGGTGTGGTGTGGCTGAGGTATGGTTGGTGTGGCACTTAGTTTTCCCATGACTGTCATTTTTGTGTTGTTACGTCTCTCTCTCTCTCTCTCACACACACACACACACACACATACACACAAACACATCCTGTATATCACGTCCTAAATATTAAAATAAATATACACAATTTAAATAAATATTCAAACGACTGAACACAAAATACAAGAAGGAAACAACATTAAGAATTTCTGGGGTCATAAAGGTGTCTGAGTCTGGCCACAGGAGGAACTCACGGCCACTACAAGAGCAGTAACCATTTTCGTTTTGTCTGGTGTGTGAGTCTGGTCACAGGAGAGTCTCACAGCCACAGTAAATAAACTTAACCCTTTGGCTGCGGGAGGTTACCCCAAGCTGAATAAAATCGTCTGTTGGTAGCCGGAAGATGGCAAGTGCGGGAAACGCGGTGAAAGGGTTAATAGAGATAGGTTTTAAGAAGTAGAAATATCGGATATTTGAGTCTAGTAGACCGTCAACCCAGTCAGTTGTCTGAAAGGGCGTGAAGGTCAGCGCTGAGCAACTAACTTTTACTGATAACTTTCCTTCGTCGTCTGTTGATGAGTCTTTATAATTATGTCAATTTACCTTCCTTGTTAAGTGTCCCATACCTGCCGTAGTCTCTCTTTACGTCTGCCGATTATGTCCATTTATGTAATAATAACATACTCCTTATTTTTCTTGTGAATACGACTTCGGATACTAAAGTTTAATACATATTTAAATACAAAATTCAACTTCAATACAGTAACAAAGAGATAAGTTCAACACATTTACTGATAACAAAGTCAAAGCTGAGTACAGTTTAGGTTACAGCGATACAGACTCAGTGAAGCACCTCATACAAAGACTTAACTGCTGTAGTGTTTCAAATGCAAAGTTAAATATCGCGTAGAGATTCATATATTATTTTTTTCATAATATCAAGTACACCTAAGTTCGGATACAAGT